CTCGCTGGCATCTGGGCAGCCGGGCAGCTAGCTGCCATATCTGACCAACTGCGCTGGCTTGATCTTGATTTTGATCTTGCTATGCTCTGCCCTGAATATAACTACGAAACGGGTATATTGCATGTGTGTAGAATGCATGCAACAGGCAGAAATTGTTCGTGGAGTATATTTTCTTAAACTTTGTTCATTTTACTATATTTAGACAATCGATATTTTTTTGATCGATCAGCAACAAAAGACTGTGTAAAAGTGGAAGATTATTATTTTGTAGATGCAACAACAGTTGCAATATAAATTCTCGTTAATTTCACGCAGCTCAGGTTAACTTGAACTTATCGATAAGCCGTTAAATCGATAGTTATCGATATTCAATTTCGTTATTGAGATTACGTTTAATATTATTTATTTATTATTATTTATTATTATTATGTATTATTTATATATATATATATATTTATTATTATTATTATTTATTATTATTATAACTGAATATTTTCCCCAATTTCTATATATTTTTCGTACATTAAAATTCATCCCTAAGCTCTTTAGATGTCAGAGCGAGATAAGAGAATACATTTAGAAGTTATTTAGGAATAATATTTCTTTTGCGACTGAGCTTGTGTTTATCGATAGGCCGTTAAATCGATATTTATCGATACTCAATTTCGATATTTATATTATGTAAAGCTGCAAGAATATTTTCCCCAATTTCTATATATTTTTCCTATATTACCACATTTAAAATTCATCCCTAAGCTCTATAGATACAGAATACAGAAGTTATTTAGGGTAAACAGAGTATCTGGTAGTCGACCTGCTGCTGCAACAGCAGGCTGCTGATGATGGGGGCTGTAATTTATCTACATGCGAATCGTGTTAACAGCAACTGCTGACGGTTGCTGGTTGGCAGCTTTATTGGTTTTTTATTGGCCATTGACAGAAGGACAAACGAATTTGCAAGCGGGGCTGAGTTTTTCCGCAACATGTGTGGCTATATTTATGATGTTGCATCTAGAAGATGCATGCCCCATGCCCACAGATACATTGCCGTATGCAAATGCACACCATTTTTTCTTCTTCTTCTTCTTTTTCTTCGCTGCATCGATTCGCTTCTTTTGTTCTTAAGGTGTTTATGTGAGTTATGTGCTGACGGCTTTTTACTGCTCTCGATCGGATCTCAGCTCGGCTTCTGGCTTTTGGGTTTGTGGGGCTGACTTGGCGTATACGCAACTTTTACCCAATGGTCAAGGTTGAGTTGGAGTCGAAAAAAAAACACATTTAACAACAATTATGAGACTTGAAGATGTTACTCAGACATTTTTATCTAGCCAGGAGGCAGACTCGCAGATAGAGCCTGTGAATTCTGCCCCAAGCTCCACTTGGAGACGTTCCATTGTCTCTCTGCGAGCATTTGTCATTTGTCATTTATCATTCCTCGTCGTTCGTCATGCCACAAGGCGTTGGCCAGATCTGTTCAGTTATGATTGTCATAAGTCATTTATAACTTTGTAGCCAACCAACAGCCGTGCCCTAACTACTCCCTGACTTAATGCGATCTTTACATTTTTAATGCGTTCTCGCTTGCAATTATTATAATTTTTGTTGTTGTTGCTTTTGTTATTTTTTGAACATATCTCGTTTCATGTTCTGCTCAGTGCCTAATTGAATATTTAATTTTTTTATGGGGCTTTTCAATCTGTACGCCTTTTTGGGGAAGGTCGCAGCTACTGTTGCGAATGGACATGCCCTGAAAATGACGACTGTAGCTAGGGTAAGAAAAATATATTGAATTTAATATTTGAATTCTTTTAATTATTTTGTGATTAATTAAAATACGTAGTTTTGCGTTTATTCTGAGTATTATATTTAATGCATTTCTGCCCGTTTTTATGCTTTAAATGTGCTCGCATTTATTGCAGCCGCCTGAAAGTATGCTGCGTCTAAATTGAATTACAAATTTGATTTTGACAGGCTGCAAACACTTTTAAATGCGCTACGCAGCAAACGTATCAGCTATATACATACAAATAATTTATTTTTAAGCTAACTATAAATGATTAGACATACAAAATTTGTAGCCCTTTTAAGCTAATATGTTTTATTCAGGTTTTCCTGCGCATGCCTTATTTGTGAACTTTCCAACACTGAAATATGGCGTGCTCAACTTTTTAATGTAATCATTATTAGGTGTAGTCAAAATTAATAAAAATATAAATAGAAATTTGATGATAATTATATTATTTATTTATATTAATATCTATTTTTTTTGCTAGGGTTTAAAATCGATTTCCTGCTCATGCTTTTTTTTGTGATTTTTCCAACACTGAAATATGCCGTGTTCAACTTTTAAATGTAATCATTAAACTATACTTTAGCTTTTTAATAATTATATTATTATGCTATATAATTTGTTGTTTTCCAAAAGCTGGACAATATATTTCTTAGCTGATAGCTATGCAAGCACAGAATACGATTTGAAGACCTTTATTTATATCTATCATATCTTATAGCTTTATTACGCATATAAATATCTATGGGTTGGTTATGAATAATTAAGAGCTGTTGCTTGTTTTGCAATATTTATGTTCAAGTTGGGAAAATGAACGAAACAATACGCAGTCAGAGATAAAAATGTGGTGCAGAGCTAATGCAAAAATGCACAAAACAAAACAAAATACAAAAAGAAAAGAAACGCAACAATATGAAAATCAAGAATAGCTTGGGAACTAACATACCATTCGAACTGGAGCCGAAGCCGGAGTGAGCACTCGATATAATATTATTAATGGGTTTTAGTGGTCATAAAGCTGAAATGGAGGCAATTGACATTTGGACGCAATCAGCTTCTAGCTGCTAATTGATTAAAGCTGCAAGCGATACGATCTGGCCGATCTGTGCGTATATAACATATATCCGGCTCCGCTCACCTCATCTTCATCTCCATCTTCATCTTCACCTGCATCTGCATAGGCAGCTCGGTAAAGGTTAATGTGTCGCACCTGAGTTATGCACTCGTTGGCATTGTAAACTCAAAACAAAACTCATTAATGTGTTTCCATTTTCTATCAATCGTAACGGAGAGCCAGACTAGTTTGAAATCGTCTTGGAATCAATTTACAGATACGTCTTGAAGCTGCAGCCCGAGCCTGTCTTTTAGTTTTAGTTTATTTTTGTTGATTTTTTAGTTTTTTCTCTTTTTTTTTGTAACTGGGCGTGTTGCGCTTAACGCCCATTTTGCGCCAAGGCAAATGCCAACACCGAATCAGAGCGAAGTATGTTGCCAAGATACGACTGCAAGATACCCTGTAAATAGTTGAAAGCTGGAAAAGATTGAACCATTTTATTAGAATATGTAACACACATAAAAACAGATTAATTATTTGCGATTTTTAAAGAAATACAATTGAAATTTAATTATTCTAATGAGGAGCCGGGCTCCTATATAACAAATATTTTCTATTTGACAAAAATTGATTAAAAGAGATCCCAAATTGAACAAAATTGCAATGTTGGTGGATTTATTTTGTATCCTCCTCTAGCCTACTCTTGAAGAGGGTAGTTAATTCTATATGTTATTTTAGGAGCCTCATATTGGCGATAGTTGCCGACTTTGTCATGCACGCCCTAATATACCCTATTTAATTGTCGCATGTAGGGTATTCAGCATCGACTTGGAGAGTCTTGCCACTGCGGCAGTAACAGCCTCGTTGCCATTGTTAGATTGCGAAATTGCCAAAAATTATTATTAAATTCTTGTGGCATAAATGTTAGTCGCTTCTCAGTGCCCCTGCCCCTGCCCTCGCCCCTGCTTCTGCCCGTGCCCTAGCCCCTGCCCACCCACTGTAACAACTGGCAACTGGCAACGGGCTAAATTCAAATGTGGCCGAAAAACTGTGGCGGAAAGTGAGAGACTCGGCGTATATGGCAATGGAGCGGCGGTGGAATTTGCATGGTAGTCAAGTGGAAAAGTATTTTTGCCAGCTATTTTCTAAGCCAGTCAGCCGTTACACATGCAGCACCTTTCGCTTTCGGGGCATGGCACCGCAACGCCCACCCAGCGACATGTTTGTACAAGCAATTTGACAAATTTTATTAGCTGCCGCTGCACCTACCAGATGCAATCTACAATCCACAAGATACAATATACATGCACCCACGTCAGTTAGCACGCATCTAGCTGATGTGTCACAGTTAACACGCAGACCAACAGGCCAACAGGTAAAAATGTTGCAGTCGGCTGCTAACGACTGCCTAATACTCGTTCCCAGTCCAGCTTTAAACATGCTAACTGCCACATTTATAATAATAGAAAGATTATTTTAAAAATATGACTTGAATAGATGATTAATTATATAAATAGCATATTCTTTCGTTTTGAATATTATCTTATGGCAATTGCTTTCGGAGTCTGGTGTCACCTCGCGCCGTCTTCTTTAAATAGAGTGTGACCAGTTTGACTTGATTAGCAAATGCTCATGTCTAGCACGTATTATAACTGCTTTCCAACACTAAAAGCTTATGTTAATGTTAACAGCTTAAATTAACATTTACTTTTACGTCTAAGACGGACTGAAAGACGAACATACTCTTGATTAATTGGAAGTCAATATACTCTTTTGCATGACTTGATTAGCAAATACTTATGTCTATATATTACAACTGCTATCTAACACTAGTTCCATTCTGGCGCTTAGTTGTTAAAAGCTTATGTTAATGTTAACAGTTTACATTAACATTTACGTTTAACACAAACTAATGGACGGACATAATATACTCTTTTGCATGACTTGATTAGCAGATGCTTAGGTCTAGCATATATTATAACTGCTTTCCAACACTAGTTGCCTGTTAAAGGCTTATGTTAATGTTAACAGCTTATATTAACATTTACGTTTAACACGAACTGAAAGACGAACATACTCTTGATTAAAACGAAACCCAATATACTCTTTTGCACAGTGTAAACGTGTATAATCGAATAGTTACATAAGTTGGCTAGCTCAGAACTTAAAAGGCACTTTAAATTGCAAATGTGCAGCAGTTCAACGACTCGCTGCGACTCGTCTCGCAACTTTCTATTGACCCAGCCTAATCAGAGAAATGCTATAAAAACGCTGAGAACTGTTTGTGCGCGCCCAGTATTAGCATAAATTCGCAAGAGCTGCCATAAAACATGTTTCGATTGGTAAGCCACAAACAACAGCGATAAATGTCCAAAAAAATCTCCATTGATAAACCCCTACACACCCCACGTCCCTTGACAGTGCTTACTTTGGGTGCTGTGCTGCGCCGGCAGCTGGAGCTCGAGCTGGAGCGCGCCAACGAGCGGGAGCGGGAGCGGAAGTGAGGGGCAGCAGCTGGTGCCGATCATCAAGTCGCTGGCAGAGCAAAAAAACGATGGCTCCTATTTCTTTGCCTACGAAGGCGCCGATGGCAGCTACCGCGAGGAGGTGGGCATCGTGAGGCGCTCAGGTAAACATAATGATGATGTTGACAATGCTGATGATGATGACGATGCGGAGCTGGAAATCTCTGGCGTTTATCGCTACATCGACAGCCAGGGCGAGCGTGTGGAGGTCAGCTATACGGCTGACAAGAACGGCTTTGTGCCCCTAGGCACAAATATACCCAAGGAAATAACAGAGACGGCCCGTAATGCTGTGCAGTCGCTCGAGGTGCGAGCGGGGGCAAGCAGAGTTAGGAGTTAAGGTTATGGCTGAAGCAATTGCACAGCTACAAACTGCTATAAACTGTTATATGCCGGAGTTGCGAGTGACAAAATGTGTTGTACCAGTAAATAACAAGAATATCTACCAAATTTTATGAAAAATTACCATTTTTATACAAATTAAAGAATAAAGTTTTATAATCTTAAATATTTAAATGTGTTTTTATTTTAGTGCTTGGAGTCTTTTATACTCTCTTCAATTGTTAGAACGGTCAACAATATTAGGCATATATTTACACAAGTTATTAGTGATAACAAACGCAAATATACTGAATATTTTATTAAAATAATAATATGGGTACCAAAAAAGTCCCTAGTTGCATCAAGAGTACCCCTTGCGGTACAATTTTAATTGCTATTAACTGTTATAAACTGTTATATGTCGGAGTTGCGAGTGACAAAATGTGTTGTAACAGTAAAATAACAAGAACATCTAGCAAAATTTATTATAAAATTACCAATTTTATACAAGTTTAAGAATAAAGTTTTATAATCTTAAATATTTAAATGTGTTTTAATTTTAGTGCTTGGAGTCTTTTATACTCTCTTCAATTGTTAGAACTGTTAAAAATACTAAGCACATATTTACACAATATATTATTGATATTGATATTTGCACATTAAAAAGTACCATTGGGTACCAAAGAAAAGTACCCCTTTTGGTACATTTTTATAGCTGCAGCATTTGAATTGCCATAAACTGTTATACATTATTGGCTGGCTTGATTGGCGCACTTTGGGTAAATGTTATTTAAACAATTATCGAAATAAACGAGTCATAAGCCAAACTATGCAAACCTGGCCAATAAATTCAAATCAGAAATCCCAGCTAGGCAGGCAGCCAGCTCAGCCAGCTCAGCGACCAGCTATGCGAATGAGGAGCGCCCGCCATGTGGCTGCGAGTGGCCGGCAAACGTCTACAACGGCTTACAACGGCTTACAACACCTCCCGCAACAGCAGCGACAGCTACCAACACTGGCCGTAAAACAGCTCATCGTGCACACATTTAATTTGACGACGTGCATCGCCAGCTTCACTTTGTTGTTGTTTCTTTTTTTTTTGTTGGCTGTCAGAAATATAAATTGTTGCAATTTTTATTGGCAGCACAATTTTCAGCGCTATAACATGGTAATTTTTTTTTGGGCTCGAACTGGGGCCCAGTGGCCGCCGGGCATTCGTCTGGGTTTGCCCTTTGCCAAATGTCGTCAGAGTTAACGCCAAAATAAATGAACTTTAATTAAAATTGCTGTTTATTTTATTTCCATTCTACTGTTAACAATTGGACATTAATTATTCTACGACTTTTCTCGACCTGTTGCGAAATGCCCGGCTCGCTTTATATTGATGGCTTTTCAATATTTATTGTTAATTCAATTGAATATTTCAATTCAACCAAGCGATGAAGCGATAAAAACCATTGCAAATTGTTTATGCACCTAATTAGAATTTTAATTTGAAACATTTATCAAGTATCTAGCTGTAATTGCGTCGAAGATATATACCTAAGATATAAGGCAGACCTAAGAGTTTGATAGAGAAGTATCGAAGGAGAGGGTGGAAAGGCGGAAGATATGCTGTCTCTTTGGGAGGGATAAGAAGAGATCCCAGGGATTGGATATTCTACTTCCACAGTATCAAAACCATTAACCAAAATTCAAATGGGATTTCAAGAAAACCAAGCCTAAGTCGAATCATATATTTGAATTGAAAAGAATCAGAGGTACAAAACGAACCGTGAACCGAAACACTGAAAACCTGTGTTGGGTCTGATCTGAAACATATTCAAATACCAGGCACACCTTCAAAATTGGGCTGAAACAGAAAAATGGGTGCTGACAATGCTATGGAAATGCCCAGAGCACTTTGCAAATGTTGTTCTTGTTGTTGTTGTTGGTGAGCTCGGGCTACTCCTCTGCTTAGTTGTCATTGTTTCGCATCTTACACGAATCACATTCAGATGGAGATACTTACTAATAAATTACGAGAAGAATTACACAAAGCGCTGACATTTTACATGCTAAATGAAAACATTTGTGGGCTTGGTGGATGCCAATGCTGAGAGGCAATTAATCGCAACACCTTGAGTGGGTGAAGCAGCCAGCAATAATTCTGACTGGCAACTGGCAATGGTAATGGCAATCGGTGAGCCTGCTAATGGATGCACTGATTGAAGCCATCAATTCAAAAGATACACCAGATAGAGCATGAGATACAGATACAGATACAGTTACAGATATAGATTCAGATACAGGTTCAGATACAGGTACAGGTGCAGATGCAGGTACAGATATAGATATAGATACAGATACAGATGCAGAAAAAGATACAGATAAAGATACAGATACAGATATAGATACAGATATAGATACAGATACAGATACAGATACAGATACAGATACAGATAAAGATACAGATACAGATACAGATACAGATACAGATACAGATACAGATACAGATACAGATACAGATACAGATACAGATACAGATACAGATACAGATACAGATACAGATACAGATACAGATACAGATACAGATACAGATACAGATACAGATACAGATACAGATACAGATACAGATACAGATACAGATACAGATACAGATACAGATACAGATACAGATACAGATACAGATACAGATACAGATACAGATACAGATACAGATACAGATACAGATACAGATACAGATACAGATACAGATACAGATACAGATACAGATACAGATACAGATACAGATACAGATACAGATACAGATACAGATACAGATACAGATACAGATACAGATACAGATACAGATACAGATACAGATACAGATACAGATACAGATACAGATACAGATACAGATACAGATACAGATACAGATACAGATACAGATACAGATACAGATACAGATACAGATACAGATACAGATACAGATACAGATACAGATACAGATACAGATACAGATACAGATACAGATACAGATACAGATACAGATACAGATACAGATACAGATACAGATACAGATACAGATACAGATACAGATACAGATACAGATACAGATACAGATACAGATACAGATACAGATACAGATACAGATACAGATACAGATACAGATACAGATACAGATACAGATACAGATACAGATACAGATACAGATACAGATATAGATATAGATAAAGATATATATACAGATAAGGATACAGATACAGAGACAGTTATCGATATAGACACAGATACAGATACAGAAACAAATACAGATATAGATACAGATACAAATATGCAGATACAAAAATAGAAACGTTCGCGTCACATTCGCGCGTGAGGATGAGTGCGGAAGTTACTGCTGCAGCGTCTCTGGAATAACTGAGTGGAATAACTTACCAACAGTCCGACCGACTGACCGACTGACTGACTGACTGACTGACTGACTGATGGACTGGCGCAGTGGTTGACACATTTCTGGCGACCCTGACATTTAGCGTGCAGTAATTTGAGCATCGTTTAAAGTTTTGGCCCGTATCGCGTAACAGCAGCTGCCATAAACCGGGATGCAAACATGTTTGGCATGTTTAAGCGCATGGCGGGGCGTTGAATTATTTGATCGCAATGCCGGCCGCATATAAAAGCCAACCGGCAGAATGCGGCACACTCAAACTCTCGCTTTCAGTGCTCCAGTTCAAGTAGAAATAGAAATCTCGCATAATGTTCAAGCTCGTAAGTGCCAGCCGAAATACCCAACCCAAGCGAAGGGGATCTCTATAAATTTTGGACTTTTTGCAGCTGCCATTGCTCGTGCTGGGTGTCCTCGCCTGCGGCTATGCCCTGCCCGTTGCCGAAGAGAAGGAATTTGTGGCCATTTTGAAATCGGAGGTGAACAAGAACGAGGATGGCTCATACCAGGTCAACTACGAGGGCGCCGATGGCACCGAGCGCAAGGAGGAGGCCAGCGTTGTGGATGCCGGCACCGAGAACGAAACGCTGGAGGTCAAAGGTTCCTACAAGTACATCAACGACAAGGGCGAAACAGTTGAGGTATTCTATACGGCCGGCGTCAATGGATTTGTGCCCTACGGCTCCATAATCAATCCGGAGATCACCTCAGTCGCCGAGGCGGCCAAGGATTTGCCCAACACTCAACAAGACGAAGTGAAGTCGTAAAGAGCGTAAAATATTGAAAATAGTTTTATTTGAAGTGCCAGCGAAATATGAATAAAAGACGAGTGGAAGAACCCTAAAAAAGAGTTGACAGACAAAAGAAATACTTTTCTTAACCTCAAACAATCAGACAGTTGCGTCTGCTGCTTTGCATAATCACACTCTCTTTCTCCCTCTCCCCTCTCCCTCTCTCTTTCTTTCTGAAAATAAACAGAGATTATTGCTCGCAGACAAATTAGAAATTCCCGCCTCTGAAGACCTTGAAAAACCACAAAACTTGGTCGTGCGCAGATCCCCCTGTCCGAACTTAACAAACGGTAATGACTACTTGTTTGGCCACTTTGCTTAGTACAGTAGAGCCTGGCATGGGACGACTTGTTGTGATTGCAAAGAATTCATTGAGAAAGTAAAACTCGGACTTACATTCTTTCTTCCTATAATTTATAGCTCCTTGGCATCACAGGGTGTTGCCTAAGGAGTTAATTATTTTTGTAATGGGCAGCACTCGCAATATTTTGGCTGCATGATTGTACAGTAAAGCCTGCTATGGTTGATTTCTGCGTAAAATACTTAACACAATTGATTTGAGAACTCAGCAATTAATCAGTCTAGCATTAATAAACACTTTAGACTTTGCTTGATTTATTGCTATACTAATTTTATTCAATATGTGCTGTACAGAAAAGCCTGGCTCTCGCTGACAAGCAGCAACCAATCAATAGCTAACTCCTCATATGATTTATTACATTAATCTCAACCCATTGAAGTCGAATGCCTAATTAACATGCAACATAATCAAAATGGCAAATGCTTTAAATAATTATGCAAATTTTGTTTATCAAAAGA